GGCTCGAGGAGAGAATCGATCGGGCCAGAGTCCGCCTTGGATGTAACTTCAGCATCGAACGTTGACACAGTCGCGTCCCCAGGACCAGGTGCCGTTGCGGCGCAGTCGAGCAGAAGCACTCCACGTGCCCAGGACACGGCTGCGGTGGCGACAAATGCAGGGCCAATGACGGATGCTGCTGTGCCACGGATACAGACGAGTGATGCTTGGATTGGTGAGGCAGATACAGCATCCATGTCGGTGCCAGCTTCACCCATGGTCTCTGATGCTAATGACGAGGCGCCTTTACAGCAAGAGGCGCGTGGCCCGGTGCAAACCACGATGGCAGAGGACGAGAGCACGCCACAGCCAGTCATGCAGTCAGCAGCACAGCCAACCCCCACGAAACACGCGCCAACCCCGTCGGCCTCGATCATTTGCGTGCCAGTACCATCGGCCTCGGGTTCAACCTCCTCTCCGACGCGATCGGCTGCAAGCTCAGCCTCGGGTACACTGCGGCGTAAGCGAGTGCCGCTGGCAGCTGAAAGTACATGTACCCCTGGGTCTGACGATCATAACAACGTTGGCAACAGCATCGCTACCAGCCCTGCTCCCTCAACATCCAAGCGAACGGCATCGGATGTCACGTGCACAGGTGCTGCTTCTTTAACAGCGGCGCAAGCAGCAGAGTCGCGTCTTCCCGCAGCAAAACGAGCAGCATCGAGTGATGCGCGCACCGCCACCGTTGCCGCTACTGCTACCACTCGCTCTGAAGCCACGGTATCTGCTGCAGCTACGCCACCGAATCGGCACAACGTCGCGCCAATATTTCGGTCGAAATCGGGGACCAAAAAAAAATATCTGATGAACTACGCGGCGGCTGACAAGTTTATTGGCGTTCTGAAGTTGATGGATGATTACTGCATGCGATGTACCATTCGACAGGCGAAACCCGTGCTGAAGGCTGGGCATCAATGCGTATCTAATCGTGTTTGTGAGCGGTGTCACTTCAAAGGACATGAAGCAAGCAAATGTTTCGTGGGCTTCGCATACCCCGACAGAGCCTGTTGCTACGCTTGTGGAATGCCAAAGGGGATTCGTGGATGTAAAACATGGGATCACCTTTGCAGGCAGTCTCAAGGACTGGATTCGGGCCTGAGCTGTCTCCTCCTTTATTCGGACTGTCATTCGGGGCTGCGCGACCTGTCCCAGCGGATGGGCTACAACTTGAGGGAAAGGACATTGAAGGATATAAAAACGCGCGACTTGTTTGTCAAGTGGCTGTACTCGTCCGGTCCTTGTCCATTTCCAGGGGATGGGCATTGGCGTCTTGTGGAATTTGTGTTTGAAAGTGCGAGGGTCCTGCTTCCCTGTGCGGCGGAAGCCCAAGTCGGCCCCCTCGACAGTTTTCGTTAAACACACACACAGGAAGCTCTTTAGAGAATCAGAACACAGAACCGAATGTCAGAATGTCATCATCTTTATTATCTTCAATAACTGCTGAAACGACTGCGACTTTTTACTTGGAATGGCTATGATCAGCTTCAATTAATTGAAGCTTTGCTTCATTAACCTCTTGCCTCTCTTCCTTCCCTTTGCTTTTGGCTTCATTTTTTTTTTTTCTCACTGACACAAGACGCGCCACGATGAAGCGGGCCATGGGCGGGGCGCGCGCGCGCTCCTGGTGGTGCGTTGTCGTCGTTGTGGCGCGACGGGCAAGTGCTGTCGAGGTGCAAGCGACGTCATGGATGAACGGGTGGCCAAACGACATTGCCGCGTGACCGTCGTGAT